TATCCCTTGACTTTTCGAATTATTTGAGTAAGTTGCTAAACTTTTTTGTTTAAATAAAAATATTTGGTATTATGCCAGGCGGTACCATGAACACTGGAAATCTAAAAACGCATCAAAGTCTGCGGAAACTACTACATAATGCAGTTCTATTCTCGAAAGCTCAGGATGGCAAATCATCATAGTCAAAAACTTGATTGATGACGCAATTGCAAAGTTATTGTCGCTTAATATAAAAGCGGGTGGTTATTATCGCTATTTAAATGCTATTATTAAATTCGTCGTATAACAATATAAAAACCACGCCAATCTCACAAATGCCAATTTGATATTGTTCAGTCACTAAATCCAATGAGAACATAACAGTGATAAATGACAATGAACCTACTGAAGGATTTATCAAACTTATATATCTCCCTAAATGCATCTGCCTTTGGGATTCTTAACATCAAGCATCATGAATATTAACCCAATGAATCTGAAATTGTCATCATACATCAGCCAACAAAAAAAAAACAAATCCTGAAACTATTAAACCAATGAAAATCAACAAAGATAAATTCGATGATGAGCATACAAAGGTGATAGTAACACTGGCTTTATCCCATATCTGGTCACCTGCATTATTTAATGATTTTTTAAATATTAATATAGGTCTCCAAAGCTATGGAAAAAGTTAGAAATAACAATTGTCCATGGGTTCTGCTATTCTTAACGAATGCAATGACAAAAGGCTTGTCTATTAAGCGATGCATTAGTAAGCATGGAAAACTTTCAAGAATTTATGGATATAAATATGCCAGTCGGGTACAGTTTTTCTGGTATGTAAAAATAAAATTTAAAGTCTTGCTTTTTGAATCACATGTGATATAGATTTATATGTGTTTCCGCTCTTTTATCTAGGAAATGAAAAAAATATTAATTCGGCACCTATTGAAGCACTTAAGACCATTGGATTTAATACAAAAGAAACGCAAAGAACAACCCCTTGGAAGTGCGGATGATTTAAAAAATATCATCGGCGTTGATAATTTTAAAAAGTTGAAGGTTGATTGTATTAAAAAAATTGCTTATTTTTATTATCGCTATCAAATTTTAGCGCTCTTTATGTAATGGCACAAATTTGCAAGTCAAATAAAAAGTTGTGAGATTCGAAACGCTAGATGATTATTGTTTTTAGCTTACACGATTATTCTCTGCCAATATTAAATGAGAATAAAAATTTTCAGAGAAAAAAAAATACTTCCTTTATTAATAAAGTGGAGTGACGGACGTTTAAGTAAGAAACATCTCGAGCTCTAACTCATAAGACGAGAGTCCTTTACGCTACCTAAGTGCTATGTTTCGAAGGTAAAGTATTGTGAAATTGTATATTTAATATTAAACTAACGAATGTTAAACCATTAATTTGATTCAATTTTACACTATATATATATATATATATATTTAATTCACTGTCACGTTTCAAATTATTTAGTACAGATATTTTTTCATCGAGACAGCGAGCATGTAACTTCCATTTGCCTTGTATGCACGTGTGTGTGTGTGTGTGTGTGTGTGTGTGTGTGTCTTTTTCTCCTTTTAAACTCAAATAGTGTATCTTATGTCTCTACCTTTTTATTCACTTTTTACTTTTTATGCCAACAAAATGTCTATTACACATCTCCTGTATATTAGTGAAGTATTTACGTATCGATACAATGATAGTAATTATTCTTTGTTTGATCACGTAAATATAAAGTTTGGATTGCGATAGACTGGCGGTAGAACGATTCCCAACTATAATTGCCTTTTGTAAACTTATTGATCATGCACGTGTACGAAAATTGACGTCGGAATTATTAAATCAAAGGAAAGAGAATTTAGCCGGAGCAGGAGTTGGAGTTTATGTCGTACGAGACAAATTATTTGAATTCCTAGCATGTTTCGATAGCTGAAATGCGAATTTGCTTATTCTTGGTGAGTCTTTCACATAAAGTTATTCATAGAAGGCGAACAATTTCTGAAGGACAAGTTTCTGTATTTCGCATTACGGTCATCTGATGGATCGAAACATGAAGGTTGTATCGTAAAGCAAAGTAGTACATGCATTACAAATAAAACGTTCGAAATTGAACATTCAAGTGCCAATACTTGCTTTCATCAAGGTTATTACGGTAGTGGGGGAAAATAATGAGAAATTATACGATCACTTTAGCTAGGATTTACATGCTCTCTGTTTGTTACTATAAAAATTTTATATATAGAAAGTTACATCATATAACAAATGTATAATAAAAATAACATTTGAACGAACAACGCGTTTCTTCGTTTACTTTTGTAATTTTTGCTATAAAAATTGCCTAATCAACTTACGTTGACCCAAAGACGTTCATATGTCAAGAATTAGTGAAAAAAATGGAATCCATAATGTATCGCCAGTTTAATCGGTGCTCATTAAACTGCAACCGTTAGCAATTAAACATGCAAAACTCGTATTTAATGAGGACGCCTCTTTTCAACAGAACAATGCGGTTCATATGCCAAAGTTTTAAAAAACAAAACTCTGTCCGATAATTAGAAACTGCTTTGCTTTAACATTGAGGTAGGTAAAAAAGGACGTGGCATCCAGTAATTCGAGCCCAAAATCTCTGTGGTCTTGCATAGTACCAACATTCTCAAGAAATAAGAAAAAATCAATTTTTATTACGAGATTTATTCAAATTACCTACTACTACCGTTTACAAAGTAAGTCTAGTAATTATTGGTTTGGGAGAAATAATTATCTCTTACGAATTAGTAATGCATTATTGTCAGTAATGTTCATCTATAAAGATATTATTCGTATTCGTTGTTGGTTCTCGTATTTACTGTAGAATTAAGCCGTGGAAAAAATATTAATATAATAATTCAGAAACCCTTCAGATCGGCCAAGTCGGCGTTATTGCCGAAAAAAGTAAGTAGCGCAATTTTTTTCTTCACAACAGATTACTAATGACATTAAGGGAACTGAAGATATAATCACACTATTAAAATTTCACATAGATGCACGATGAATTCGACTGCGAAGGTGCTGTGGGAATATGAAGTTCGAGATCCGGAAGGTCATGCTAGTCTGAGGTAAAAAGAATAAATAAAAGCTGAAATTGGCAAACTATCAAACAACAGATTCTAATCGATGTGATTTGAAATAAATATAGGTGACGTCATATGTTCAATATTAATATGAATCAGCAAACAAGGGTTTCTCCACTTGTCAGTTAACTAGAGTATTTACATATATATATCTCCATATTCTGCATATACCATAATAATATATATACAGTATACGTTATATACTAGACCTTGTTGGTAAAGTATCAGAGAGTAGGTTCGAGTCAATTTAAAGAGGGAAGACAGGAGAAGAACTTGGCGAGTTCTATGTATTTTAATTCTCATAACGATAATATATCGATGTCTCTCACATATTCATACCAACCCCTCTGCTCATCCCTATCAGTGCAAAGCGTCAGCATGGGACAGCAGCAGGATAAATTGGAGGGTGACTATTTCGACCCAAACCAGTTACCAACTACTGAAATAACAACTCAGACAACATACGCTAAACCCTCTCACTCACAACAACAGCAACCCGAAGATTCCAGTATCATACTTACACAAAATGACTCACATACCTCTGTTAACTCTGCTAGTAACAGAAGCTCTGATAACGTCGATACGCATAGTGCTGTTCATATCATTGCTACTCATTCAGCCCCCCACTTGGCGGCTGATCGCTCACAATTACATGCTGATCCATGCCAGGCTTCTTTTTCAAACCAGTTAGATAACATAGCCACTGATAAACAGTCAGATAGCTCTACCCATAATGACAAACATTCAAACACAAACCCCTCTTCTATAAACATATCATCATTCTTACTCAAAGACAAACCGTCATTACGTGATGGTCTCACAAACGGATTATTAATAGAACAACCACCGTTGTTCATAGGGGACAAACAAGAACAGAAACACAAGATCGCTGCAAGAACGTCTGCAATAAATACAAAGTGCAATGAGACGATTATGGTAAACACGAGCGCGAACACTGATAAACTCGCAAAACCCCTACAAGCGCCAACAAATTCTGCCTCCTTAGAGAATAAAGACAAACCATATACAATTCCTCCTGCCGTGGCTGCCGATGTTCTTAAAGAAATGATGGCGAATAAACCAGATTCATCGACACTGCAAAAAGTTGAATCACCACACCCAGGAAACGTTCGCAAGTCGGACGCAGCGGGGAGTAAGTTTAAGTTGAAGAATGATGGATCAAGTAGGAAGCATGGTTAGTGTTCGGTGGTTCTGTTTAGTGTGGTCGGTTCGAGATTGCCACTCCTTGTTTGGTCATTGAGATGTTCTCACGTCTCATTATAATCACGTACTAAATTACAAATTACATCAGATGCCTCCTTCCCTTCAAAATTCTCCTTCCCAAATATCGCGGACAAGAACTTTTTCGTTCCAAACTTTGTTTCCCCATCCTCATCCACCACATGCACAACTGGTTCCCCCCCCTCTTTCGGTCTTAGTTCTTCTTCTTCTTCTTCTTCTTTCTCTTCCTCTGCACACTCATTGTTCTCATCTGCCAATTACAATAGTGAGGATTCCTCTAAGAGCCCCTTTCAAACCGCATTACAAGCACAAACGCAATCTTCCTCCTTATCGTCTAATCAATCGTCACCAATGGATATGGGAATGAATCTCATGGGATTGTCGTTTGCACAACCAGCAATGGAGGAAACTAACCCTCCAACATTAACCCGATCATTACAAGAGACTGTCTCTCGGCAGGAAGCTAATATGCCATCTCCTCCAAGTGAGTATAGCACATCAATCATATTATGTACCAATATATACTACATTACGGATGTTATTCATTATTGTACAGTTTAGTTTGTATTTTATACCGTTTATTGCTGTCTTCCTTGGCTCCTTCCTACTCAAATTCGCAAAACTCACCACCTTATTCAAAAATCAACAGACGCTCAGAAGTCTTCCTCACATTTATTTTTCCCCAATTTCAACGGATCATTTGACTTTGACCTACCTTCAAAGAATGCGGAAGAGGTTCGCGTATCGGCTGACGGAATCGCAACAGTCATAGGAGTAAGGGATGGGAGTAGTACGCAGAGCACTAGAGGAACTGGCGGTAAGAAGTGAAAGAATAGGTTGTCGTTGGGAGAGTAGACGAGGATGAAATTGAGACTAGTACATAAAGAACTGTTAGTGATGAAGGGCGAGGTAAATACTGGAACGGGTAGCGTAGAAATTACTTGCGAAATAGTAATAACCATGGGAAATATGTCTATATCAGTCAATTCTACAGATGTGAAAAGGAATTTGTTTTCAATTTGCGAATTTTTACAAGTATCACCACTCATATGATTATTTTCTTTTCCCTCTCTATTTGTTGTAACTTCATTTTTTCCAAAACCAGATCAAAGTTTACGCGAGCACAATTCAAAGCTAATTACATTCTCTTCCTTCCGCTCTTCTAACTTTCAACCCAATTTCGTACTCAATTACCAGAAACGTCTCCAAACCCCTTCCCATCCACATGCCAGTCCTATCGACCTATACGGCCACTTCCAGCCCGTGCGAAAGCACGCTTATCCAGTAATGCATCATCCCATCCTAATTTTGATACCCTCAATAATAATATAGAAGTCACATCTCTTGGGTTAAACTTTAAAGGTGAAATTAACAATCCCATTATCTCCTCTGGATTCAAGCATACTCTTTCAATTATTGGAACATCAATGGCCGCACCGTCTTTGTTTACGTTCGCTACGCCAACGGGCTCGGACGTCGTAGATGATGATTTCGAAATCGATGATGATGATGCGGGAAATGAGTCTGGAGGAATTGGATGGTTGGATAATGCTAACAACAAGAAAAAGCGCAAAGCACTACAGACTGTAGGAGGAAATTCCTTGTCAAGTGGTACGGTGAAGTCGATATCAAGCAAGGACCGTACGAGTCCTTTACGGAGAATAGATAGACGCTCTGCACCTCGTTCTGCGGCACTCACCAAACCTTCCTCTGATGCTTCTGATATAGTCTCATCAGCAGTCAACACTACCTTATCTGTTTCTTCTTCAGTTTCTCTTCCATCTGATAACATAGTCCATCCACCTCAAACAGAATTTGAATTCTCTTTCAAAACGATATCAGAGAAATCAACATACGATGTTACTTCAGTTGCCAATGCGTCGAATGTAAAGAAGGTAGCTGTGGGTTCAATGATTCGTCCCATTGCGAAGTTAGAGCCGTTACATATAGGATCATCTATTGCGGGAAAACAGCAGCAGTCGGAAGAGCTACAGCATTCAGAAGGACAACAGCATTCAGAAGGGCAACAGCATCCAGAAGGACATTCAGAAGGACATTCAGAAGGACATTCAAAAGGACAACAGCATTCAGAAGGACAACAGCATCCCGAAGGACTACAGCATTCAGAAAGAAAACAGCAGTCGGAAGGAGCACAACAGTCGGAAGGAAAGCAACAGTCAGAAGGAGAAAAGCTGTCGGAAGGAAAGCAACGACAACAGTCGGGAACGCAGTGGCAACCGGGAGCATACCGACAATCGGAAGAACAACGACAGTCGGAAGGACAACAGCAGTCGGGAACGCAGCGACAATTAGGAGCACACCGACAGTCTGAAGGACAGAAGAGTGCTCCGCGGAGAAGAACGAGTAGCAATGGAGGTAGCAATACACCAAGTATGGGGGTTATAGGGACGACCATTGAGAGTGTTGCGGGCGGAGGAAATAGTCATGGTAACGTTAATATTAACACAAACCGCGCAAGTAGCACAAATCGTGTAAACGCTGGCCTTACTAGAGTTGAACCCAATATACAGCAGCAGCCACAAACGCAACGTAGGAAAGGACCCAAACATTCTGCTCTATCGAACGCGAAAGACTCATCAATGATTACAAAAGACGCTTCTACCCAAAACACTATTCCCAGTACTGAGACTATCAGCAGTACCAATACTGTTTCTCCTCCTACCACTCCAGAGAAAGTACAGACGCCTAACAATCAGCACAACGTGCAAAAGCCAGCATCCCAAATATCACATCCAGTCGCAACAGTGAAACGACCTCCTAATGCTAGGAAGAAAAAGAATAAAAAAAACGGATCTCCTACTCCGCAATCGCTGAATACCGTCAATTCTAGCTCCTCGTCCGCGCCTTCGACAATATATAATACCCCGGGCCAGAACTCTCATCATGCTTCAACTCCTTTCCACTATCAGCGAGAACCACTTTCTCCATCATTGATAGACTTCACACATCACACGTCCACAGGTTCTTCCCATCATAATCCACCCCAACACGACGATGCATCGAGTACGACAGGCTCGATAGACACACAACCGATGTCCGCTCCAACACCAACAAATAGGAGAAGATTTAAATTACAGGATAAGGGTGGGGAGTGGATCTGCATGTTCTGTGAATATAGATTATATTATGGTGATGGAAAAAGAGTCAGAAAAAGAAACAAGGGAGGAAGTGGACGCGGGAATGTTGATGAGCGTGGAGGAGGAAATAATAACACTAGTGGAAATAGCAGTAGCAACGTGATCGGCGCTGGTAGTCCTGCAAATGATAATGGGAATAATAACAGTGTTAATATAAGGAATAGCGACCATAATGGTAGGAATCTTTGGTATTAAACATACTACCATAGATTATCAAACCTGAAAGTTACGAAAACAGGCTCGAGTTGATAATATTGGAGACTGATTTGAATTCGAAGATGTTATGTACGTTAATCAAATAACAAAATGTAATATGAAACATGTAGTAAATAAAAATATCATAACCAGACTAACTTCACCATTCACGCATATGTGAAAAAACAAACATTTCATAGGAAAGTGAATTAATCCATTTTTCTGCAGCTTTCAACCAGTCTATTACGTGATTATTGGAGAAGCGAATGCATAAAAGTCTACGTACTTACTCTTTTATAATTTAATTTGTATCAAGCAGTTATCCTAAAGTTACTGTGACTCGATTGATTTGTCACAATTGCTATGGCAAAAGGTGGATTGCAACTGAATCATATACAAATTAACAATATTCCGATCAATATTTTTATGTCAAGTACTGCGTGAATAAAGAAATATGATTAGATTCGCTCACATTTGATGGAAAGGTGTTTTTAACAAGTATAAGTGGCCAAATTTAAAAGAAAAAGTTTCAGACTGTAAATTGTATGGCTGATTGTACGATTATCTGAAATGCAGCAGACATGAAAGCATCTAATATATGTAATTGAGAAATATTATTTAGACGAATAAAAAATCGTCTTCGCACGTTAATACAGTATTATCGTTATGGGATAATAATTCTGTATACAATATATCGCCTTCTTTTCCTACGCAAGGGCACAAGATTCTTGAAAGCCATTATGACTCTAAAGAATACGAAATGCCCTACCTAGAAATGTATTCCAAATAAAATACTGTAATTCTCAATTCTGCAAGAAAACTAACGGCCGTTATGCCAGCGACAGTCGCGGAATATAATAAATCTGGAATAGAATATCCCTAGGATCGTGCAAATGACAGAGAAAGCGATGGCAAAGAGGAAACAATGTAATCGAGTAAAGCAGCTTAGCCGTTGAAGGTAACAATACCAACCCAGAGCTTTTGGTGAACAGTTTTGTGTTATATTAATTGAGTTACGACTTTATTTCTATATATTCTTAGTTGGTAGACCAGAAATGATTTTATTGCAAAAAATTATTATTTACTTCACAACCATATTATTATGTCAATTCACTGTATCAATGAGTCCATTGCCATAATCATTTCTGCTGCTCCCTTGAAATTGAATCCAATATGAATAAATAAAGTTAGTCTTTACTATGCATATCGTATCCCATATAGGTTCAA